AAAAAAAGAGAAAAGAAAAAACAATGGTACATTTTATGTGAGAATGAAGTAGAAACTAAAAAGTCACACGTTTTCACTGGCCACAGAGTACTTTGGAAAAGGTAAAAGAAGACACTCAGGGATGTAGTTCCCATTACAGGGGAGGTGAAAGGGGGTCGAAAGCACCAGGAAATTGGAATTGGTGTAAACAGACGCAGGGAGCGAGGGTCACACATCTGTGAAGATACATTTTTTGTGTGACTATACATTTTTGTTAACACACAATTTTTACTTTTACAACTGTTATATTTCACGTATTCAATAAATAAACAAGACAAGATGTCAGAGAAAAATGTTAAAATGTAACACAAACAAAAACAAATGAGTCTGTGTTTGAAATGAAGAACACCCAGAAGGAAGAAAAATAACTCAAACAATACTTTAATACAGTGCTAGGAATATACACTCAAGCTGAAGAGAAAAAGAACTGTAAATAATTGCAGAATTCTAAGTAGTAGGGCTACTTCCCTCCGTGGTGGTGAAGATATACTACTTACTGTATATCCTAGGATTGAATAAATAAGTAAATATACTATGGGCAAAATGGCACATAGATTCCTTACTGTCAGAGAAAGGAGTTATAAATATAGAAAAGAGAAAGGCAAGAATGAACTCCAGTGTTTAACTGGAGTTAGAAGTATCAGTAAGAGGTCAAGGTTGTTTTTTTTTAAATTTTTTTTAAGTGTATTCATTTATTTTGAGAGAGAAAGTGAGCACACAAGTGGGGGAGGGTGGGGACAGAGGATCCAAAGTAGGCTCTGTGCTGACAGCAGAGAGCCAGATGTGGGGCTCAAACTCACGAGCTGTGAGATCATGACCTAAGCCGAAGTCAGATGCTTAACTGACTGAGCCACCAAGGTGCTCCAGAGGTCACGTTTTTAAAGTACATATAGAAAACACAGAAATGCATGTATGTGTCAAAGTGCATATTTATTTTATCTTTCTAATAATGTCTGCTGACAGATCACAGAAAGAATAAAATCCTAGTAGTAATTAGCATACCAAGCTCTCAGGTCTTACTGTCTAAAACACCATTCTCCGCTGCAAGCTACCAGGGCTCCTTGGAGAAATGCTAATTCCAGGCTTTAGAAAGTACGGGATGAGCCCAGAGGATCTAAAGTGCTCAAAGAGTGGTGACGATGTGCCAGATGGACCCAGGAGCTGGGCCAAAGGGGCTGCTACTATATGAATCCAGAACAAATAGAACATCAAAATAAGCAGTACTAAGTTAGTAACACAGTAAGAATCCATTAATCTATACATATTTTTAAAAAGTGAATAAAAATACAGGAGTTTTTCTTATACTAAAAAGCCAAGAATTAAAAGTAGAAGAAATGATGCGATTTTAAAAATCACCATGTCCAATCAAAAGAAGAGTATGAATTATTTCAGGTAAAACTCTAGTGGGTATAAAGTTTATGAGATCAGGATATTTACACAATCTGAAGATATCTCCCTACCAGATATTTAACAATTATAGACACAAGAAGAGTAGTTTCACAGCCCAGAAACCAGAAGACACCACGTTGGCCAAGTGATCAAAGTCACCATGACCAGTAACGTGGTATAGAATTTGCCTGCTAAGAGAACGTATAGAACACACCTCTATGCCGCCTTGTCAAAAATGTACAACCTGGATCTAATCATGAGGAAACGTCAGACAAACCCAAGTTGAAGGAAATGCTACTAAGTATGTGGCCTACACTCTTAAAAAAGTCAAAGTATGAAAGACAAAGTCTGAGGATATGTGTTCCACAAAAAAGACCACATGACAATTCAATGAAATGGTGGACGGTGGGTTGATCTTTACAAGAACCAGTCTTTTCCTTTTCCTGAAAAGGGCATTAGTGGAACAATGAGCTAAATTTGAATAAGATGATATGATACGAGTGTTAATTTCCGGACATGGTGAGAGCGCAGCCTTGTTTTTAGGACATGGACTACTGAGTATTCACGACAGGCTTCCTCAGTCGGGGCTCTAGGAAAGAATGACACCCCATAGAAAATGACTTAACTATTTTTTCAGTTCTCCCAAGAATGGCATGTAGCCAGCAGCACTGTACGTGCATTAAGAAAGCAGCTAATTCATTACATACCTTAGGACTTTAGGGCTTAATTCTCTTAAGACTTGAGGGCTTAGCATGTCATAAGACTTCAGGGCTTAATCCTCTCACAGACAAGGATCATTATGTCTATAACCTACTCTCAAAAAGCTCAGGGAAAAAATGTATATATATGTATATGTACGTGAACATAGAAACAAAGAATCATAAAGCAAACACAGCGACAGGTTAACATTAGGACTACTGGGCACAGGGTATAGTACCACTCTGTACTATTCTGCAACTTTCCTGTAAGTCTGAAATGACTTCCAAATGAAAAGGTATTTTAGTTTGTATTTAAAGAACGTGGCAGCAGTGGGTTGATACGCTGTGCTGGCTATAATTGAACTTCAAGTTCTGGAATCGGGTTTCGGTGCAGATTTCCACTGTGCTCCTCCAAGAACGTGGGTGAACCACTGAGCCGCCTTCAGCTCCCCTTACCCCTTGGATAAGCTAGGCCAGGCATGTGGCCTGCCTCCAGGGGTGCCCTGACAGTGAGACGCCGCCGCTAGGCCTCAGCTTGAGCCCCAGCAGCAGGAGATGCTCAATGCACGACAGGTTCTATGATTTTCTTAACTCCGTCTTCACACACACAAAACCCCAATATTTACTGAGCCTATCCTCTGTACCTGTCTCTTGTGCAAAGCCTTGCTCTAAGTCCATTTAAACTAATTAACTAAATCATAAACAGTAACTCACCAGCTAATAACGAATATGAAGATTATACAAAAACTAGAAAAACATTTATGGAGAAATTTGAGGAGGAAAAGGAAAAATTTGGACTCACAACTAAGCAAAGACATGCGGGCATATAGACAAAGAGGTCGTATAAGATGGTGGGTTGATGGACGTTCTGTCTGTTACGGTGTGTATTACTGGGGAGCCTGGTGGCTCAGTCCGTTAAGAGTCCAACTCCGGCTCAGTTCGTGATCTCACGGTTCATGAGTTCAGGCCCTGTGTCGGGCTCTGTGCTGACAGCTCAGAGCCTAGAGCTGCTTTGGATTCTGTGTCTCCCTCTGTCTCTCAAAAAATAAACATTTAAAAACTAAAAACAAAATAAAATGTGTATTACTACAAAGGTCAAGAAGGGAGCAGAGTGGAAACAAAGAATTCTGGGTCTGGCCAGAGGCTGGTAAATGAAACTGAGTATTCCCGACTATCAGCCCAGGGTAGCATATCTGCATCTGCCCTAGGCAGCCAGTAAATGTGGGGCACCAAGAAGAAAAAACTTCAAAACTAAGGAAATCATTTTCTTATTCCCAGCTTAGTCTTTTACATGTCAGCACCTAGAAAATAAAACACAGTCTGGCTGTCCACACTCGAAGCAGACAATGACACTCCTTAGCTCCAGATGTTCGAACTGTTTCGTAGCACACTCAGAACAAAACCTGGTTTTCGCTGTTCTACGTACTGTGATGCCTCCACCCACTCGCAGCCTCGAAGCTGCCTCAGAACTCAGGCACTTGCTCCCTCTGTCTGGAATGCTCTTCCCCGAGGCGGCTCGCTTTCTTATTTGATTCAAGTCTCTGAATATTAATTCCTCAAAAGGAGGCACCCCCTGGACTACTTTATGTAAAATAGCCGTGTCTTCTTATCCTGTTTCACTTCTCTTCATAGCACTTATCATCCAACTCTGTGGCATATAGTTTATACCTGTTAATTTGTGTCTCTCTCCTACTAGCATATAATTTCCGTTAGGACTTAGTCTTTTGTTCACTGCAATATCCCAAGATCCAGAATACGCCGTTGAATGAAAAATATGACTAAACAGCACAACAAAAAAAAGGCCCATCATAATTCTTAGAACCCCTCTGGCAATGTAATAGGCGAGGCTGGCAGCCCTGGCTGGTCCACGTGGCAAACTCAAACATATGCTGCAAGCCTTAGCTTCAGGGCACTCTCTTCCGAGAGGTTTCTCTTCCCTCATCCTAGGAGAGACTGGTTCTCTCTTCCATAGGTAGGTTCAGAGTGTGCAGAGTAAGCAGGCAGGCAATACATGTACAAGCAGAGAAACAGCACAGAACGTCAAAGCTCAAGGTTATCCTTACAGTTAACGGATGTATGGAACAAGCAGACCAAGTTGACTGAGCATTAATCTAAAAAACAAATAATGCTTACTGTGTCAGGCTTGAGGCTAGGCATTACCCCATTTATTTTACTTTTTTAAAGTTTATTTACTTATTTTGAGAGAAAAGTGGGAGGAGCAGAGTGAGGGAGGAGGAGGGAGGTGAGATAGAGAGGGATGGAGAGGGAGAGGGAGGGAGAGAGAGCATCCCAAGCGGAGCCAGACCCGGGGCTCAAACTCACAAAACTGTGAGATAGTGACCTGAGCTGAAATCAAGGGTCGGACACTGAACTGATTGAGCCCCTCCACTTCATTTATTTTTAATTGATCTCGTGGACTGTCTCATTTAATCTTCCCAACGACTCTGTAAAAAGGTATTAATACCAATATTTGTACCTAATGGATAGAACACCTGATGCTTAGGGCAGTTCAATAATTACCCAAGAACTCACAGCTAGTAAGCAGAAGAGCCATGATTTAAAGTTTGATCTTGTAACGACAGTGCCTGCCTAAGCACTGGGCACACTGCCTGTCTGGCCTGCAAATCGACAAAGCAGCAATTACTACAAGACTACTGCGAGAACCCACGGTGGAAAGAAGTAGAAAATACACTCAAGTTAGTAGAACAGGATCCAGTTTTCCCGCTTTGCTATCTCAGGAGCTAAGTAAGTATCAATCCCTTTCTCCCGTTACCTTCTCCGAGTCCTTCTTGTCCCCCGCCTTCAGTCCCCCCCCTCCTACCCCTTCCCAAATCCACATTTACCTACAAACATGCAACCTGGCATGCCACTTACCGTAACAACAAAGACGACTCAAAAGACGGTCTTCCTTTTGGCTTCAAAAGGTCTCTCTCTGGTCCATTAAGTATTCACAACACTCAATTCTTCCTTCTCCTAAAGGAAAAATCAATAATGCAGAAATTTATTGTGTGTGTGTGTGTGTGTGTGAAATCTGTATTTTTTCTGGAGCTGGACATCAAAGTATTGCTCTCATTTACTCCTCAGTCTGGTCAGCACCCTTCGACTACATCTTACCTCTTCCCACATTCACTTACATTCTGTTTCTCCTGCAAGAGGCACCTGCCACTGGCGGCCATCAGGTCCTTCCCAACCAGCTCTAGGCAAAACATCAAGAATCCTGCAGGACAATTACGAACTTTAACGTAGGAAATTCCTGAGTCTTATTTTACTTGTTTGTTTAAAATTTTCTAATTCTTTTTGTTTGCATTACCTCAACCTCTAAGGTCAAGGACCCCTTTTACTACCACTGTACACTCCAAGACATAGTTGATATGCGTGTATGGTACCATGTTATACACAATGCAGCTCTCCAAGAATAGTTACGAAGTGGTTAAAAACCAGATTCTTCTGCACATTTGAGTGCTACATAACCAATCTCTGCCTTAAAGATGCTGGGGTGGGGGGGGGAGCTGACTTCATTCAATGCCCTTGGGTTTTTCCCCAGCAGAAGAGATACAGATCGCTAACAAAAGTGCCTGGTAATGTTTACTATTCTCTCCAGCAGCGACCATACTGAGCTGCTCTTCTTTCAACTTTTCATTGACCGTCTTTGGGTCCGCCGTCGGGGTGGGGGTGCCAGACCCCGCTCGGCCGCTGCCCTTGCCCTGCGGAGGCCGGGGGCCGGCGAGGGGGTGGGGGCTGCTTTCCGGCCCCGCCGCGCCCCCCCACCCCGGGCCCCGCGGCCGCGCCCCTCCCAGGCCCCGCGGGCCGCGCTTACCCCCGCAGCCGCCGGCACCGCCCCTCCGCCTGGGACCGCACTTCCGGTTAGTCTCCCGACACTCGGCTTGGGGCTTCCCCGCGGCCGCAGCCTCCGCGGCGGTGGACCTCCGGGCCCACCTGCGGGAAGGGAAGGAAAGCAAACCTGAGGGGCTGACGAGAGCCAGGGGCAGCTCTCTTTGCGAGGCTCGGGAGGGGAGCTGGGGGGCCAGGCCGCCCACTGAGCGCTTTAAGGGCCGACAAGGCCGGCTACGCGAGCCCTTTCAGCCAGGCTGGGAAGCGGCCGGCGCAGCCCCGCCCCCGCGGGTCACATGACCACCCCTGCTACGGCGGCTGGGGCGCCCCGCCCCCAGCCTCTGGGCCAATAGGGGCTGAGCCCGTGTAACGGGGCGGGGCCCCGGGGCGCCTGCGCTCCGGGCCTTCGGCGGTTCGGGGCGGAGCCGGTCAGGAAATGGAGTGTCCCTCGGAGGCTCGGGGTCCCGGGCTGAGGGGAGGGCTCCGCGGCCACCTCGTCTAAGAGGAAACGATGTTGTTTCAATTGCAGTGTCTGACTTCCGTGCTCTTTCCTCAAGGCAGTTAAAGGAGGACTCGATCCAGGAGTAGCGTCACGGAGACGAGTGCCGACCCTGAGCAAAACACCCCGAAGGATCTGGGAGAAATGGAGGCGCCCTGGAAGCGCTCAGGCACCGAGGATGTGGCTTTAAGAGGGAGAGCAGTGGCCGTGTGCAGGCGGAGACGGCCGCAGCGGAGGAGGCTAAGACTGCCCTGAGGCCAGCGGGGTCCCCGGCCCAGGGCCGGGATCCGCGAAGACTCCTCACTTGTGTGTGGGTTCGAGCAGAATGGAGAGCTCCTTCACAGGAAGGTGTACTTTCCGTGCTCAGCTGTTGGTGAACAGAAGTTTCTATAAAGCCCTCAGATAGCAGAGTCCTTGTCGCCAAGGACTCCCATTGTGAGCAGAGTACCCCGGACGGGGGGTCGTGAGAACATCCTCAGGGTTTCCCAGGCACGCGTTCAAGATAACGAATCACGTTGCTAATTCTGGGATTCTCCGGCGGAGCTGCGGTTTCTTTTCGTTTCTTATTTGTCTTTATTGAAAACTGAGTAAGGCCAAAATACTCTATCCAGAGTTGTCCTAATATTTGAAATCATAATTTTTAAGTTGAGTAGGTAGTATGTGACAGACCGTGTTCTAGACACTTCCCATGTCTTATCTCAGTAACTTGTGACAAAAATTCTATGAGATGTGTGTTACTATTAATCTTAGCAGGAAACTGGTGCACACAGAGATTAAGTTATTTGCCCAAGATCACACTTTTGGTAACTGATGAGGCCGAAAGATGAACAGCCTGACCCCAGGGCCTGGGCCTGCGCTCGCAGTACTTCCTAGGCTACCTCACTAGTGGTTGAGTGTATTGTGGAAATACACTGGAATAAAAATCAAGCAAATGGTTTTGATCCCCACACTGCATGGGAGAAGGTCTCAATAAGTGCTTTTGTTTTTCTTTCAAGAGACACTGGCCCAATCATAGTGCTCATTTTATTTCTTGTTCCATTCATTCAGCAAGTGTGTATGGAGCACTACCAGTTCACGTGCCTGTATCCTGGATATTACGAATTTAAAGGCAGATGAGACCCAGTCCCAGTCCTTAGTGGCTCACACCCTAGTAGCACAGAGACAGCAGATGTCATACATGGCATAGTAGAGGTAGAAGAGACAAAATGTAGTCTGGGGGCATAGAGAAGTACTTAGTGAAGACCTGAGAAAAAGTCAGAAAAAACTCTGTAGGGGATGAGATACGAGGTGAAGTTTGAAAGAATAGAAGCAATGAGTTGAAGATGAGACCGGAATGGAAGATGGAGAAAAAGAGATTTGAATGTGATTTCAATTAATGGATTTATCTTGTAGGAAACGAGAGCCATTCATAAGATAGCTTAATTATCGCCACACTGAACATCTTTAGAAAGATGATTTTATTTTATTTATTTAGAAAGATGATTTTATTTTAAAGTATAGAGAGAAGCAAATCAGGAAACTTGGAGAAGAGGACAAAGAGTGAGGAGGAGCAGCCAGCGAATGATGAGGAAAATGAGCAAACAAAAACAAGTCAGGGCAACCAAGGGAGGAGAATTTCAGTTAAAAGGTTGACAACAGCAATGTCATATACTGTAGAGATCAGTTGAGAATTCTATGTTCTAGGCTCTTTACATGAGCTCTTTATATGTACTGACTCAATCATCAAGAGTCCTATGCTATTTAGCCCTCACAACAACCCCATCTTATAGGTGAGGGAAGTGAAGTGTAAGGAAGCGTTTTGTGCCCGGTCATCCTGCGGGTAGGTGGCAGAATGGGCGTTTAAGCCCTGGTAGTCTGGCTTTCTGAGTCTGTGCTTGTTGCCACTAGCTTATCCTGTCTCTCTGAAGAGCATTGATGGAGTTTAGAAATCAAGAGTTTTTCATCTTTAGTAGAGGTAGCTTCCACGGAGTGTGATGGAAAACGAAGAAGGGGACACAAGCTGTATCATTCTTTGCGGAAGCTTGGCTATAAAAATGAACAATGAAAGGCCATTTCTACTGTAGAACATCAGACTCCTACAGGGAGTAGGTCCTACAACTTCAGGATCAAAGAGATTGGAATACGTTGCTAAAGGGAAAATGTCAATAGAATGAAGATTCAAGAGAGGAGATATCTGAAGCCACTCGAGATACGAGAAGCTGGGGTCTGAAATACTGGGAGGAATGATCCTTTAACCAGAGAAGGCATCGGAGTTCAGAGGAAGGAAGATACATCTGCTTTGCTTTGGTCTTGTTCAGAAACTCTTTTAGGATTTAGAGAGAGGAATCTCAACTAGCTACAGGTACCCTATTCATCAGGTTTCCAATTTGTTCTATTAGTCATTCACCAAAACTCTGATTCAGCAGAGTTATATTCTCATAAAAGGATCTTCTGTTTGATCTGATCCAAAGATAACAACGAACAGCCTATTTTAAAAAATCACCATGTCAATGGTTCAACAATGACATAGGGTAGCGTTGCTGTTCTCCATCTCTTGGCTGTTCTCCATCTCTTGATTTCCTGGGGCTTCTCAGATTGTCTCACTGAAGTTCACCCAAGCAAGAGGAAAAGGAACATGTGCCTCAAAGTGGCTTGTCACGGGTGTCAAATTAATTCGAGAGTCTCGTTTTTATCTATTTGTTTTTAAGCCAAAGTAATTGCTTTAATGTTAAAAAAGATTTATTTTTCTAATAGGTCACACAAAAGTTGGGAAGACAAAGAATGATGTCAACTAGCCTACATCAAAATCCGGGTTGAGGAAGGATGCAGAACTGCCTAAAGAAAAGAGTAGCCGGAGCGAACTGGAGAGGTCAAAATGGCTACCGGCCAACGGAAGTCGCTGCCTGGGCCAGCCACCTTTGGGAGTACCATCGTGGTGCGGCGAGGACCACTAAGCTGTGGCCCCGATCATTACAGCTTTTCAGGAAGGAGAAGCAGGAGCTCATCTTTAGATGTGTTCTTGATGCTTTTTGGCTCCGTCTTGGCCTTCTCCCGGTGTATGCCACTAAACTCCTCAGTAACCGCACTCCGCATAGTGCCCTCCTCCAGGCGAGGAGGGGGACACTTCCAGAGCCTCCGGGGTGTGAGCAGGGCGTGTGAGAGCTCTGAAGCCACAGCTCTTACAGAAGATGTGAGGAGAGAAAAACTCTAAAGGCTTCATATGCAGGGGAAGCCATTTTATTTTACTTTTTAAAAGTGTATGTATTTATTCAAGTAATTCCTGCACCCAATGTGGGGCTGGAACTCATGACTAAGAACAAGAGTCCCATGCTCTTCTCCGACTGAGCCAGCCAGGTGCCCCATGAGGAAAGCCATTTTAAGTTTCTTTCTAGGTTAGCATGACTGTTCCTAAACTTTGTTCAAACCAAGAGCCTAGTTTATGGCCATGCATGCATTGTGCATTTGCTTTGTGAAGGAGTAGCCTAAGGAGAACCAGCTTGTCCTGGAGATACGATCAATGCTCCCGCTTCCTGTATTCCTGCCTATAGACTAATCTATAATCTTTTGAGGTCTTACAAGATGTGAAAAAAAAAAAAAAGAGCATATAACCCTGTAAAAACTGTTCCTTCCCTGGAACAATGTCTTCCCTGTGAAGAGCATGTTTCCCAAGTTGGGCTTAGATAAAACTCTTTCTTACTTTTAGAGATTCCAGAAGATTTGTTCATTTTGCACGGAGAGGTGTGCTGTGCTTTGAGTGTGTGCGTGGTTATGCTCTGGGCTTCCCGCAGGAGCTTCAGGGAGAAGCCCCAGCAATGAGGTGTCTGCTCCGCCTCATCTTGCGGATACCACGGGGTTGCCTTCGGAGCTGTGCGAGTGTGCCCGGACTTCGAAGCCCAAGCTCCAGGGCGGCAGCCTCCTGTGCGTCTCCCTGGCCCTGGCATCCCGCTGTGCAGCAGCAGCCGGTGGCACGTGGGAAGGTGACCTCTGATTGCCCCTGGAAAGTCTCCCGCCCACTGGCACCACCTCGCTGACCCCAGCGCCCTTCCGCACCGCAGCTGGCCCGTGGAGCGCTGCTGGTGGCTGGGGTGCAGGCCCCGTGGGCCCCAGCTGCATCTGTGCTTGTGGCTTCGCGGCCCTGCTGCCCCTTGTCGGCAGCATTAATTTAGGAGTCTCGTTTTATCTTTAAAATTCATGCAGTCTGCATTCTGTCCTATAATCTAGTTGGGCACCGGAGATAGAAAATAAGATTGGTTCCTTACCCTTTAGAAATCATGGTTAAAATGAAATGGATATATGCCTAGTCCAGAGGTGGCAAATCTATGGGGCACAATACTAGTCTCCTCACCATATTTGAGGCAGGCAACACCGATCAGTTGTGACTTTTTTTTCACTCAAAAACCTGGGGTCAGATTCCCCCTCGATACAATATCCACTGTCAGTCAGTCCGAATGAGCCTCGACTGGCAGCCCTGTGCACAGGAGACACGTTTAATTCGAGAAGATTTGTATGAGAGGCAAGGTGTGCACAGAGTGCAGGGGGGACATCGGAGGAAGCCGGCTTCTCTGCCCGAGAGGATCAGAGGAAACTTTACAAAAGGTCATGGCTGTCACGATGCCTTTGCTCCACAACATCTTCAGGGACCCAGGTTCCTTCCAGTCCATGTTCTGTCGTCCCTTATCTGGTAGGGAAATTTCTAATCATCACGTTCAGATTTCAGACAGAAAGATGGAGGAAGAGACAGAAAAGGCCAGGGGCTTGTGAAGCTGCTATTTGAGGAAGCGTCCAAGA